GGAGAGCAGCAGCTCTGGATCCAGGGAGAGCAGCAGCCATGGATCCATTGGAGAGCAGCAGCTCTGGATCCATTGGAGAGCAGCAGCTCTGGATCCATTGGAGAGCAGCAGCCATGGATCCATTGGAGAGCAGCAGCTCTGGATCCATTGGAGAGCAGCAGCTCTGGATCCAGGGGGAGCAGCAGCCCCGGATCCAGGATGTGCCGGAGAAGCCCGAGGCTGTTCCCAGGTGCTTGGGAAGAACCTCCCAGCTCCTGGTGGGAAGGGAAGGGCCATCTGTCACCACTGTCACCAGAGGGACGGCCGAGCCTGGCTGACCCCAGCTTCCTGCTCCTGCTTTTCCTCCTGGGGCTGTAGGGAAAAAAATAGGGGGAAAATGAGGGGAAAAAAAATAGGGAAGCAAGTGCTCTCCAGCAGATTTTGGGGTTTCTGTAGGATCCAGCCTGGAGCTCTTGATGTTTTCCCTTCTCTTCTCAGCAATGGGATTTCCCCAGGATTTTTTTTGCCCCCCCCCCCCCCCCAGCACCTCTGCTTCCCAATGGATCTCTTCCCAACATTGCTCTGCCTGCGCTTTCCAAGTCAGCCCCTCTCACTCCCACCTCCTTTCCTCATTCCATGGGACCCACAGCAGCACTGGAGCATCATTCCAGCAGTTTGGGTTAACTCTCCCCTCTAAGCCCCTTCTCTGAGGAGGCTCCAGGGCTTTTCCAGACTCACTGGGAAGTGGCAGGAATAGGGATAAAAGTGTTCCCTTCTCACAGCCCCCTCTGGAGTTTGCTGCTCCAAATGATCCCAGCAGGTCTCTCCTCCAGAGCCCAGGGAATCCCTGGAGCTGCTGCCCTTGGCCCCCACCTGCACCCAAAGGTGCCCCCCTCTCATCCCAAGGGTTTTCCAAGGTCAGGGGCACTGTGTTTTCCCAAAAAACACGCCCACCACCTCGATCCAGCAATTTCTGCTGCCACGATTTCCACGGGATCACAGTCACCACCCTGCTTTGTGTTCTCTCCACAGGCATTCCCACAATCATGGAATCATGGAATGGTTTGGGTTGGAAGGGACCTTAAAGGTCACCTCATTCCACCCCTGCAGGGGAAGGGGGATCCTGCCCCTCTGCCCCTCTCAGGTGAGATCCCAGTGGGAACAGTGTCCAGCTCTGGGATCCCAGCACAGGGAGGACGTGGAGCTGCTGGAGAGAGTCCAGAGGAGGCCCCGGAGATGCTGCCAGGGCTGGAGCCC